CCACTTACCCTCAAAGGCTTGTGGATCCTACAGACCTTTAAGTACGCTAAGATAGATAATAATGGTGGCTCAAAGGTGTCTATGGCTAGCCACCAACTGGGTGATGGAGATGGATACATTTTGTAAAAAAAAAAAAAAAAGTTCAAGAGTGAGATTTTAGCCTGACACAAGCTGGAGGATTAAAAAGTGTGTTGGAGGATTTTTCATCTACAATGTAAAAAATATTTTTCAGAGTTGTTAAACTAGGATTTTTGAAGAATGTTTTACATTCTTACTTGCAACTTCTTGTAATCTTGCGAAAATCGTTGTGGAATCACTTTACTTAAAGCCTTTAGAATGCATTATAAAAGCATGATTGTTATTGCATTAATTTGTAAATGCACCTTATAATGCACTGTATGGAACTCATGAATACTTGTAAAGTTGTAGTATATTATATAATACTTATCTTGAACAGACATTTAAAATACATGTCAAACAACCAATTTTAGATATAACCAAAATTTAGCAATAATCCATTTTAACTTTGGTTACAATTATTTCTTAAAAGATACAATGCATTATTATACTGTACATTATTAATGAATTATACGTAAAGTGTTACCAACGTTTCTACACCACATTAATTATCATTATAGGATTAAATTTGTTAAAATGAGTTAATGAAAATGAGTTAATGTTTATACCATTCATTATTTTAGGTTAATAAAAGGTTGTAAACGTATCATTTATTGCTAGTACATGATAGCTAATGCACTAATGTTAACTGTACAAACTTTAATAGAAATGTTTAATTGAAATGTTTGTACGGGTTATGATGAAGGGGTCAAAAAATAAACGTTTGCAAAATGCTAAATGATTGTTAAAACAAATGATGGGTTTTGATGCCCATTAACTCAAACAAACTATGACACATCTTACATACTATACAAATTCTGTTGCCACTCATGCATCTAACAACTTCTAATCTCAATGGAAAAGATTAGGACAACTACATGAACAAAATCACGGTTTCTTTATGACATTTTTGAATGAGAGTGGTGAACCTAGCTGCAGATTACAGTGTGTATGCTGGATTTGTGTTCATATAGTTTACTAAAACACATCAGCACTATAGTGGATAATTGAAAGAATACACACTCCTCCTGCCCCAACCTCCTCGTCCTCCCCAACCCCCAATGAAAAATGAAATACTGCATTGAAATTCCACACCAGAGGAAGGATAGAGAGAAGCTAAGGATAGAGAGAAGCTTTGAAGCTCCAGCCTGTCAGTCTTTTTTGTGTTTTTGTGTGTGTGTGTGTGTGTGTGTGTGTGTATGAAAAAGAGAGAGAAGATGAGTGAGAGAGTTCCATGTTCTAGTGCTTTCTCTCTTTCTCTTTCTTTTCTCCTTCTCAATCCTCAGTCTCTCTCTGTCCCTCTCTACCTCTCCCACCACTCGATTCAACAGGCCCCTTTCTTTTCCACCGCTGTCATTCCCAAGAGCTTGCACAAATCAGAAACACATATTTGAAAAAGTTTGGTTTCTGGACTTTGGAAAGGAAAAGGAAAACATCCCTTTGCTTTTGAACTTGCCAAGCAGTAAAACCACACCTTGCCTGTATCTCAGTTGTGTCTGATGAAAAGAGCAAGAAAGGGAGGAAGAAGAATTAGAAAGAAATAACAAAAAGTTAACAAACGAACAACATTCAACACTAGTCAACTTGGAAAACTCTGCATGAAGCACCTGAAGTTTACAACATCACTCCCTAAGGGAAGGATTGTGTTTTCCATGTTTCTACTTTATTTTATTCTTTTTAAACTTGCTTCTCAAATCTAGGATTGCTATTTATTAATTCCAAAATAACTTAATGTCATTTATCCTTATTATCAGCTTTTAAATATCATCATTTACTCAACCTCTAATTGCTATGTCTTTCAATATTTCATTGATAAAACTCTTTGTTTCATTGTACAGTTTGCTCATTTCCACATTAGGGGTTTTTCAAAGTTTTTGAAGAGGACCCTTCCTAAAATATGTAGGCGCAATTTTGGTGTTTAGACACAATTAACACTGTATGAAAATAAATATTATAGGTGATATCAAGACATGATCTGTCTTCAGAATTAAAAAAAAAAACAGGCTTGTATTAATTTTTGCATTTTATATTTAAAATTGCCAGAGAGTGAATTAGAATGTTTTTTTTTTTTGTAGGGGGGCCGATAATGACCTTCAGCATCTTTGAGAAACATCATCTCTCAGTCTAACCGTATACCGCAGGAGATATATCTCGAAGCGGCGGTCCACGTGAGAGCGAAATCCTCCAACTTTCCTCCATCTTTACTAGAGAGAGGCGCGTGTGTGAGATGAGACACTGTGGCTGA